TTCCACCACCTCCCTTTAAAAACATGGGCCTTTGTGGGATGTTTTACATCCAAACTACATCACACATGTAAGAATCAGTCAGAACCATGATCATGAATCTTGATACCAGCATTGTCTTCCTATGAATTTCATAGTTTTTGCTCATATATTTAGAGCTCTGATCCACTTTGACTTAATTTCTGTATAGGATGTGAAACTGAAGTCTTACTTTTTGCTTTGCATATGCAAATACAGTTGTTCCAGAAATATCGATTGAAGTTTTTTTTCCCCTGTGGAATGGTGATAGTTGACTATATATATATGGTTTGACCTTATCAAAGAGCAATTAGTCTTGGATGTATGGATTTATTTTTGGATTCTTAATCCTATTTACATAGTGTATATTTTTATCCTCTGATAATATCATATTGTTTGGATTATTCCAGCTTTGTAGTAAGCTTAGAAATCTGGAAGTGTGGATTTTTTTCCCTTTCTTTCTTTCTTTCTTTCTTTCTTTCTATCTCCTTGGTATTTGTGGTCTCTGTAATTTTATGTAAATTCAAGACTTGTTTCTGCCAGAGATGCTGATGCATTGATGTGTTGGTTCTGTAAAATTACTTGTATTTTCACATCTTAATGTTGTATTTTTATCCATGAACATAGTATGTCTTTTCATTTATTTAGAGATTGAATTTCTTTCAACAAAGCTTTGTGATTTAGTAGGAGGTATAAGACTTTTGCTCCCTTAGATACAGTCATAAGACTTTATTCACTTAGATCTTACTGTGAACAGAGCTGATTCATTAATTTCCCTTTTAGATGGCTCAGGGCCAGGCTACAGAAACACAGCTGATCTTTGTGTACGGATCTCACGCCTTCTAATTTGTTTGAATTTATTAGATATCACAGCTTTCCTGTATATTTTGTTGATTTTCTCTCTATAAGATTATGCCATCTGCAAACTGCTATCACTTGTACCTTTCTTTTTAATTGTGATGCCTTTATTCCCTTTTCGTGTCTAATTGCTCTTGTTAGTGCAATGTTGACTTGAAGTGGTGAATGCAGACCTCCCTGTTGCAGCCCTGAAATCTTCTAGTCTTTAACATTGAGTATGATATTAGATGTAGCGTTTTCATAAATGCCCCGTCCAATGTTGAAGGCATTAAGGGAAGGAGAGTTTCAAACAGTGCTTGGAGAAGTAATTCGAACCCTATAAGATGCTGCTCTCTCTGGAGAGGCCTTTCTTATGCTTTTGCCAGCTCTTAAAACACTTTGTATAATAGGACTGCCTTTGCTGTACGTTGTGCTAGAGGTTTCTGGGCACATTTGCTTTTATGGCACGGCCATTTGGGGTTCCATAGCAAAGCAGGGAACTGGATTACTGAGTCCTCAGCTCTAGAAACCTTTGACTTCAAACTCATCTTTCTAATGGTGTACTCTACCCACCTCACTGGTTTCTTCCTGTCTTTGACCTTGACATGAAGACCCTTGTTTTCTCCATAATTCTTTCACACGTTTAAGAAAATGCTCCAAAAAATATTTTATCTTGTTCTAAGTCACCTTGAGCTGGTGTTGCTCGTTTTCCATTCCTGGAAGAGAGTGTTCCTTGGGCCACTGCTTGCTGAGGGTAGAGATTCTGAATACAAGTTTCTTCTTGCTTAGAGAAGGCACAAAGGGGGCATCTTTGTTTGTCATCTATCTATAGAAAGGTACATGGTGATAGGAGCAAGAATGGAATTAATTGCAAGGCAGGATGAGATATTTGGTCAACATCACTCAGTTTTTTCATGGCAAGAGGTAAGTAACTTGCCTTTCACCGAGATATTTAGCTGTCTTGTTTTGCTCAAAAACAGTGGTTTTAGTCACTTAGTCTCATCTGAGAAAAATAAGTTGCCTTGAGTTGGTCTTTAGAGGCTGCCCAAACTCGGCGGCAACCATCTGGTATATTTTATAGTAGACACATCCTGAGGACCAAAGGGGTCGGCGAGTTGTTAGGATCAAAGCAAGAGGGTAGGCTCACAGTAGTGCCATCTTCTCCCTCCTCTTCTCCCTCTTTTTTCATCCCTCCCTTCCTTCTTTCTTCATGGCTTCAAGCCATGAAATAAACACAGTTTTATTATAACTCCAAATTCCAAGATATCCGTAGCCACCATCTTCAATAGCATAGGATTAAATTAAATAGCATAAATTTAAATTCTGTGAAACAATGTTCAACGGAATTATTGTCTAGGCTCGTGTGCGATGTTACAACAGACCAAACCAGAACAGCGTCACTCAGGCTGCAATGCCAGACTGAAGCAGAGTTGTTCCTCTTACTTCCCGAGAAATGGCCAACACTTCCGTGTCAGTGGCTGGATAATGGCATTCCTTCTGCTTTAATCTTCAGCAGGAAAGGAATTTGGAAATCACTAACCTTTTGGTCTGTTACTATTTTTCTTCATCCTTTTTCCTTTCTCCACATTGTTGGTGCTGTGGAGGAGAGTTCTCTGTACCTCCCACTCCTGGGACGACCTGACTCGCAAATTGCTCTTTACTTGCTGGTTGTTAAATTATTTTGTTCCAAGATGTTTTTATTTTATTTTTTTCAAACCAACAGGACTAATTTTTAGGGCAGCAAGTAAGCTTCATTTTGGGATCAATTTCTTGGCTTTCTCCACGTCAAAGTTCCCAGTGGAGGTAGATATTTGAAATTCACCTCACTCATGCCTCCTGTTCCTCAGAATTGTTGGCATGCCAGTCATAAATGGAAAAAGTCTACATTTACTTGGGAATCAATTCAATTAATAAATAAGAGTTTCCTAGAGGCAGGCTCCATCTTTTCCTTGTGTTCAAATCATCAACCACAGTTCCTAAACATCTCTCCTTCTGCAAGTCTTCACTTTAATCCAATTCACTCTCACCCCTTGCCCCCCCACCCCTTGCCCCCACTACCCATTGTCTTTCCTTACCCCCATCCCTTGACCTATTACCACCGCTTTCCCCCTTCACACACACACACACACACACACACACACACACACACACACACGCGCGCGCACGCACCTCACCAGGCTGATAGCAATAGCATCTGGACCAGTGTGACCGGAAGCTCCTCTCAGCCCTGGGGTGGCAGGTGTAGCAGCGTTTTCTATCCCACTGAACCCAGACACAACTGGCTTTGGAGCAATTATCAGTGCGCTGACAAAGTCCCCAGGAGATCAAAAGTCCGGGGGCGGGGGGGGGGGGGGGGGGGGGGGGGGGGGGAGACACGTGCTTGTCTGCTTCTGCTTGTCTGCTTCTACCTGTCTCAAATCTTTTCTAAGGCAAACAGTAGGGGTTAAAATAATTTTGACTAGTATACAATGTAGATAAGCTAAATAATTAGCTAATCTGTTATGTTGATTATTTCTGTTTTGTTCACTGACGTACCTTCCCCTAAGAGCCTTAAACTGAAGGCCTCTGCTTAGAGCCTTAGTCTGAACCGGTTTTCAAAAGAATGCCTGAGTGAGTGGATGAGGGAGGTGAGGGCAGCCCAGTATCACGCTTTGATATTGTTTCAAGCGCTGACAAAAACGCTGCCTTGGGGAACTTCTGGATAGAAAATACCTCCAGGAAATTGGAATTTGTACTAGGGCGCTCTAAACACCTGGCCAGAGCCTTATTCGTTTTACAAAGAACTGGGAGAGATGGCAGCAGTTGATCACAGGCCAGTATTTTGAGGTCAGCCACTTTATCCTGGGATTCCCATCCTCTCTCTTCATCCCTTGCCCATCCAGTTAAATTGGAAAATAAATCCCAGCCCTCATAAGGTGTTGGCTGATAAAGGCTTGAGCTATTGCCCCTTCAAGGGGAATTTGCATTTTAATAGAGGATCGTCAAGCCCCAAAGGAATCAATATCTCTAATGCTGAAATTTCAAGCACCAGCAATTGAGATGTTTTCAGGACACCTTTCAGTATTTCCAATCCAACCGTGGCACCGGGTGGGGTGGGGGTGGGGCTCCATAAGTCCTGTCAAGAGGCCGTGGAAAAAGGGCCTCTGCCTTTTTTTTTTTTTTAATTCTTTTCAACTTTGCTTCCTAATTTTTCGGTCAAGCCTTCATACTCCTAACACTTTAGGACCCTTTCAACACGAATAGGTTTAAAGTTGTCCCATCAACAGGGTCACAAAGCCATTACGACGACCGAATTTCCAGGTTTCCTTGCAATTCCAAGGAAGCCAGTCGTTTTAAAAAACTGTTGGCCAGGGGCTGGAGAGATGGCTCAGAGGTTAAGAGCATTGGCTGCTCTTCCGAAGGTCCTGAGTTCAATTCCCAGCAACCACATGGTGGCTCACAACTATCTGTAATGGGGTCTGGTGCCCTATTCTGGCCTGCAGACATACACACGGACAGAATATTGTATACAAAATAAATAAGTATTAAAAAACCAAACAAACAAAAAAAAAACCTGTTGGCCAGAGGGAGTATAGGAGACTTAATAGGTTGTTACTGTGTCCATTTACATTCGCCTTGCATATTGTTTTAAAGCCCAAACTTGGGACTTGTTTTATAAAAAGCCCCGCGAAGGAAAGGTGGATAGAAGGCAACTGCGTGCCCCTGGAATAGGTGGCTGCTAGGGAGGTTCTGGAACTGCAAGAAAGCGTCCAGGCTTATCTTGATTTTTGCTCTGCAGAGGGGCTGGAGGTCGCCACGCCTGGGGCTCAGAGCAGGAAACGTAGGTCCCAGGACTCCTGGTCCTAAGCGCCGTAGGTCCTGCAGCCCGGCTCCCACGCCTCATCCAAAGGCTCCCCGAGGAGCCGGCTGGCTACCCTTGCCCTTGAGGAGACTCGGTCCACTCTCTCCTCAGGATTCTCCACCGACCGGGAGGAGGCGCCAGCGCCGAGGACACACCTGCGACTTCTCCCGCTCCAGGCTCGGCGCCTGGTCCCCACTCCGGCTTCCCGCTCCCTCCCGGGCCCAGCGCGCAGCGGCTAGGCTCGCTCCCGAAGCCCGCGGCAGCTCGCGCCCGGCACGGAGGCTCGCGCCCGCGCCCGGCCGAGGGAGCGCGCGGACGGGCGGACGAGCGGGAGAGGGCGCAGCGCGGCCGGCGGGCCCTGCGCAGTGGCGGTGGCATGGGCGCGGGCATCGGCGCGGGCTGCGGGAGCCCGGCTTTCTGGCCGGCCCGGCCGGCTGGCGGTCACCGCGCGTCGCAGCTTCTGCTGTCCACGGGGAGGCGGTCCCCGCAGCCGGCTCAACTTGCCTCGGCGCCTCTGTGAGGAGCGCAGCACGGAGAGAGCTCGCGGGGCGCGATGCCTCCGGCCGGCGGCCCCCGCACACCGCGCCCGCACGCGCTGCCCCACAGCCTGTCCCGTTTGCGCGAGTGCCCGGGCCGTTCCCGCATCGTGCTGGCTCTCGGGGCCACGCAGATGGCGCTCGGATGCCTCATCGTGGCCGTGAGCTTCGCGGCGCTCGCGCTCACCACCTCGGCCCGCGTGCGCCACTCCTGCCCTTTCTGGGCCGGCTTCTCGGTGAGTGTCTGCGGCGGTGGCGCTGGCCGGGACCCGGAGCTGCAGTGACGGGGACGCGGCCCGCGCCTAGTGGGGGAGCGGACGCCCGGGTTTGGCAGCCGTGGCTCGGGTACAGTTTCCAAGTCTCGGGCAGGGGAACTCCGGGGACCGTCGCTAGTCGCACTGCCGCTCCAACGCGCTGCTCCCGGAGTTACTTTTCGGAGGGGAAAGGAGCCAGAAGCCCTCCCCTTGCCACCTGGCGGGTGGCGGTCGGTGGCGAGTCCCTGTCTGGGGCAGCTGCTGGGAGCTCTGCTCACCAGTGACCGACCCGGGCAGCGGGCGACCGTGACCGAGGCGGCGCGGCGCGGGGGCGCCCGAGCCCGGGTGCTGAGCCCGCTGTGAGCGGCTCCTTTCGCTGCGGTTTTCGCCGGGGGTATGCGGGGCTTCGCGTTCTGTTGCGGGTCAGTCCGGGGGAGAACGGCTGGTCCTGCCCTGGTCACTCACCTCCCGGACACGGAGGCGTCTTGTTTCTTTCGTAATCCCCCGATCCTGCTGGACCGACTGGCGACTGGGAGCCAGGAGTGTGCTTTTTGAACTCTAGACTGATTTTCAGGTCCTTGACTCTCAAATCTTCCCCTAGGAAACATTTATTAAAGAAACCATGGGTCCGAGATGATTTATTGATTTATTTAGGTATTTTGTAGCGTTTTGATAAAAGTTGCTTATTTTCTATATTAATAAAGAACGGGCATATGGGAATTAGGAGATGAATGAGGCACGGGTATTTATAAAGACCGGCACTTGTTTCGAGAACTCTTGACATCTGTAACTACATTTGGTCGATGGTGCACAAATACATTACAGGCTTCCAGTGAACGCTATGCGTTTAAATTCCGCGTACACAGACCCAAACCAAGCCTTTGGAATTAATGATCGCTGTTTGTTCTTAACTTTCGTAATTTTAGAAAAAAAAAATCGGTCTTGCTTTTTTTTTTTTTTAAATTTATTTTGTTTGTAATGGCCTTTGTTCTTGCAAGTTCCTTGTCTGGTTTAAAATGAGATCTTAGCAAAACTACCCTTGAAACAAGGATCGATACAGGTGTGGCTGTTCATCCTAATGGGAGTATTAATTTTCCAAGCTTCTTTCAGACGGGGTGGGGAGGGGGGCTCATCTTGGAGCGCTAACTAGGAGGACAGGACGTGTGGTCACAGCTCCCAGTGTTCAGATCGATGAGAGGAGGTGGGCGGCCGCCTCTAGGGAGCCGTGGTCCAATCCCGCCCCTATATATAGTCTCCACACATCTGTTGCTCGGTTTTTAGCAATACTTAATATGCCTTGTTTTCATGTCTGTCTAGTGGGTACTGAGTTTCAGCCTGCTGGAACCAGCCTACAGGTGGCAGACTGGTGGTGAATTAGGCTTCCTGACTCTTTGCCTGAGCCTCCCCCACCTCCTCTGAGCCTTAGCTGAATTTCCCCAGGGTTTGCAAAGAGAACTGCCTTTTTTTTTTTATAATAAGCCTTAAAAAGAAAACATTAATTGGAGACAGCAGAAAAAGCATTTATATTAAAATACACATCCCCTGCATTTTGTTGCAGGGCTTAAGTTGGACAGGTAAAACAATAATGCGGTTTGTGTTTCAAATGCTGTTGTCTTCAACAGTTAGGAGTGGTTGGTTCTGGTTTCCCCCAGTTCTGAGTCATGCCTGGTGTTAGGCTGTGTGTTCGCACTTCTCCAGGATCTAGAGAAGAGCACTGAAGCCACCACGAAGTGCTTACACTTTTTACCCCCTACCCTCTGGCCTTCATCCCACAGGCTTCTTGTGCCGGGGATGGAACATCCCCGAACATACGAGGTGAGTGCTCCGCCCCTGAGCTGCATCTCCAGCCTTTAAATTCAGCATGGTCTATCGAGATTTTCACATGTCGTCTCTGCCCTGCAGAAAGAATGGTTAGTTCCAGTTGGGACAGGCTTGCCTGTTGATGTGGTTGTGGATAGGGAACATGGGTTCTTTGCCTTTCTTATACAGTCTGCCCTTAGCACCAGCAGCTTCTGTAGCCATGGATTCAATCAACCACAGAATGAACATATTCGGGAAAACCCTGTTTTTATACAGAAATATGTATAGAGTTTTCTTGGCCATCACTACCCAAATAATACAGTATAGCAACGGTTTGCATGGAATTTATATTGCATTAGTTCTCATAGGCAGCCTGAAGATGATTTAAAAGCATGCAGGAAGACATGTGTGGGCTATATGCAAGTTGTATGACATATAAGAGATTTGAACGTCCGACCATGGGGGCTGGGAGTTCCTGAGATGAGTCTCCTATGGATAATGAATATATTTGCCCCAACTCCCTTGAAGGGTCTTCCTTATAGACAGGTGACCAAGACAACTGGCTTTCATGGAACCCACGGTGGGTTCAGGCTGTGCTCTGCTCTGAACCTTCTGTAAGGAGTGCTTCATTGCTGCCTCAAACTTCTTTGACCATCTGTGGTTTGGGCCTGTTGAAGAATCATTCTATCAGCAGTTCTTCTATTGAGGAAATGGTAGTACAGAGAAAACCAGTTCTCACTTTACTGAGCACTTCCTGTGCCCTAAATCTGACAACCCCTTTTACATGGGTCCTAGGCCACTTCACTGGGGGCCCAGTGGACCCCTACTGCTCAGGTCCTTGGACAGTTCCCTCCCTTTGAGTTTCCATGAGGTGTCTTCCTTGTCTTAGCCAGGGGAATGACATACAATCAAGCCAGCTTCTTTTCAGGGCTTGCTCCTCGCACAGCCCTGGCTCCTTGTGGTGAGTGATCTGAAATGGACAAAGAAGAAATACGTGACTGCCTCAGGGCTACTGAGCCAGGAAGTGGCTTTGAACTTAACTTTAGACACACCAAGTTGTCCAGGACACCAAGAAACCCTGTCTCGAAACAAAACAAAGCAAAACAGCAACAACAAGCACCAAGTGCCTAACTGGAGATGTCACTTAGCTGTCCATGTAGCAGAGATGGAGGAGAGCCTGCTGGTGGAGGAACCCACTTTGGCAAGGCGGTCCCACCTGTTTCTTAGGAGAAACCCTAACCATGTCTGAAAGGTGGAGGTTCAAGAGAAATTTAAAGACACATTACACTGGGGATATTGAGGAAACTTAAAAGTTCTGTGTGTGTGTGTGTGTGTGTGTGTGTGTGAGAGAGAGAGAGAGAGATGTGTGTATGTATGGGTATGCATGTGTGTTTATGTGTGTGGGTGTGTATGTATATGTGTATCTGTATCAGTATACGAATAAGTGTATATTTATATGTATATGTCTGTGTGTATATTTGTGTGTGAAATATGTATATGTGTATATGTGTCTTTGTGTGTGTACATGCATGTGATTATGTGTATGTGTCTATGTGTGAATGTATATATATGTCTGTGTGAATGTATATATATCTATGAATGTATATGTATCTCTATGTGTATGTGTGTGTCTGTGTATGCACACATATGTGATTGCTATGTGGAGGTTTCAGTTCCTGACCACCTGGCCCATTGCTTTCAGATCTGTGGCAAGGCAAGGCAATACATTGTGGTAGGAGTGAACCAGAAAGCAAAAAGAGGAAGGAAGAGGTTGGGCTGAAACCTACCATTCCCTTCTAGGTCATGAGACCTCCCACTAGGCTCCACCTTTTTCCATTAGTGCAGTGCAAAATGAAGTCGTTACCTCGTGGACCTTTCGCGGATATTCTAGAGCTAAACTATAGCAGGGGAGCTTGGCAAAGCTGGAGGCAGATGAGGTGGGACAGCTGTGGCCAGAGGCCAGTGATGACCAACAAGCCAGATGGTACTTTTGCTTCTGAGGGCCACTCTTCATATGGTCCCCTGTCCCAGGCTGCACTGTCCAACAGGTTAGGAGATAAGTCACCTCTCTCTGCATGACTCTGTGGTGAGGTTGAGTGATGATTGGCAGTACATTGAGAGCCTGGAGTCAGGTGGCGTTTTGACCAGTTACTCCTTAGGGAGCTGTTTCATCATTTTCTTTCTAATTTTGTCAATGCCCAGAACCCTGAATTAGTGCATTTGAAATCACCTGCACAGCAGCTGCCGGCAAAGAAGCTGAGCCTTTGTGTAAACTAAGCCCTGTAAGAGCAACGCCGCCAGACTTCTAAGAATATTCCTAAAGCAGTATGTAATTGTTGCCATAACCAAAATCCAGGAAATGCACAAACACGCTCTCTTCTCCACTGCGCCCTGCCGATAGGTAGCTGACGTTGCCAGTGGTGTGTAATGTCACTCAGCAAACTTCAGTCACAAGTCTATCAGAATGCTTATATGTGAAATGCATCCTTTTCTTTTAAAGAATATGGAGCTGTGATTCTAGCACCCACATTTTACTCGGTGGCTCGCTATAAAGTGTGATGTGTCTCGTCCCTTGTCACAGTTGGTGATAATTTTGAATCCATTCTTTTAGTGACTGTGTAATCATCTACACTGCAGATTACCGTGGTTTATTCGCTTTCTTGCTGCTGGGAACTTCCCGGTGACACAGATTCTAAGTGTCTGATGCTGCTGGTCTTAGATGCCAGCGCCTGCTTCCGAGAGTGATGTCCTGGGGGGTGGATTTGCTACTAGTCAAAGGGTGTCCAGGTTGGAATTCTGTTAGGTGTCATTGGGTTAGTCGAGGGAAAAGGTTATGATCATTCTCACCCCTGACACCTTGCATAAGGATTTGATTTTTCCCCACCCATGAGACCTGGAATATTAGCAACCTTGAGTGATTTTTATCAACCTGACGGAAGAAGTTTGGCATCTGTTTTCATTTGAAGTGACTTTTCTAGCCACCTCATTCTATCTTGCAAATAATCTTCTCGCTGGGCTCACTTCTTGCTTTCTTTTGAAATATTTAAAACTTTTCAGTCATATGTCCGTTTTCACTTTCATATTTTCTGCATATTTCCCTCTTAATTAGCATTACAGAGGTCACACAAATAGCCCTAAGATTTTCCTTCTAAGACTTTCATTTTACTTTTATACCCACAACC